TGATCTCCTTTTTTGTTTAAACTTGCTTACAGAGCAAATGAGGGTGGTGAGGTCTTCCTTTCTGTTTGGCATTTCATAGAATCATAGAATAGTTTGGGTTGGAAGGGACCTTTAAAGGTCATTTAGTCCAACCCCCCTGCCGTGGGCAGGGACATCTTCAACTAGATCAGGTTGCTCAAAGCCCCGTCCAACCTGGCCTTGAATGTTTCCAGGGATGGGGCATCTACCACCTCTCTGGGCAACCTGTGCCAGTGTTTCACCATTCTCATTGTAGAAAATGTCTTCCTTATACCTAGTCTAAATCTTCCCTCTTTTAGTTTAAAACCATCCCCCCTTGTCCTGTCGCAACAGGCCCTGCTAAAAAGTTTGGCGCCATCTTTCTTATAAGCCCCTTTTAAGTACTGAAAGATTGCAAGAAGGTCTCCCTGAAGCCTTCTCTTCTCCAGGCTGAACAACCCCAACTCTCTCAGCCTTTCCTCACAGGAGAGGCGTTCCACCCCCCCTGATCATTTTTGTGGCCTCCTCTGGACCTGCTCCAACAGGTCCGTGTCTGTCTTGTGCTGACGCAGAGCTGGACGCAGTACTGCAGGTGGGGTCTCACCAGAGCAGAGGGGCAGAATCACCTCCCTGACCTGCTGGCCATGCTGCTTTTGATGCAGCCCAGGATACGGTGGCCTTCTGGGCTACGAGCAGCCAGAAAAGGCTTTTCTCCATGAAAGCCTTTAGAGCAAATTTCAACCAAACTGTGAAGAAATGTTATGTCTTAGAGATAGTTATATTGCTACAGGTTTCATGAAAGTCAGCGTCTCTGCTGATGGGAGTGGTTATGTGTTCTTTCATAGCAGCTCGCTGGCACTGGCCAGAGTATGTAACTCCAGGCTAACTGCAATATTGCCGCCTTCTGTGTGGAGTACGGAGGAAGCTGGGATGATGGTGGGGTTAAGACACAAGTTCTCTTACTCATGGGACTACTTATTTAATTTTGATTCAAATCTTTCTGAAGAGTCAAAGTGGTGGGCGTTCCTAGTTGTTCAGTAATGTGAGACTTCTAATTAGTTGGCATTTGCTGGTGCTCTGCCTGCAGGAAGGCAGCCTCCCCCAGGCACGAGGGAGAACTCTGGTTAATGCAGCATTCAGTCTGTTTCTGTAAACATTATTTCTGCTACACGTGAGCTCTAGAACCTGTGAGGGCTGCCTGAGATTTCCACTTCAGGAGAAGTTTGAAAGGTATTTAAAAAGTAGAATGTGAGGTTGGCTAAAAAAGACTTCTATATGTTATCTAGTTATAATCTCCATCAAAGCAGATTCCTTTAGTTCTTTTTCCTATCCACTCTGAAAAAATACTATGTTAACATTAACACTTGCTTTCTTATTTTAAAAAAAAAGTTTTAAAAAACTATTTCAACACAGACTTCAAAAGTTTCTTTATTGATTTTTTTTTCTCATTTCTTTTTATTTGTTTTTATGAATGTATAGTCACACACTCTGTCCTGTCAGTCTCCCTTTCCCAGCACTCCTACCACAAGGCGTGCCTTGCAAAGGACTTTATCAGATGAGAGTATTTACAGTGGTCAAAGGGACCACTTCTTCGCCTCGCGGGCTTCGCTCTTGGACCAAGCCATGCCGAATGATGTCCTGTTCACCAGCACGTACCCTTCTCTCCCAAAGTCGCTGCCATTACGGAGACCATCATATACTTTGGGAATGAAATCACTACATGGTAAGTGTATTTTCCATTTTTCTACTTTCAAAGGAATCCTTTGTGAATCATGTTAAGGGAAAACGTTTGTTACAGCAATTAGTACTTCCATCTTGATTTTGCTAAAATGAGGAGAGTCGAGTCACATGCCTGAAAATATAAAATAGGATGGGAATTTTTTTTTCCTTGCTTCAGTGGGTATAAGACTGCATGACTGGTCATGCATTTACCGTGTGGAGGGAGCACAAAAATTTGCCTCATCAGCTGTAAGTTTTCACCATTTCTTCCAGGAGTCATCTGGACCAGTTGGACCAATGGACAAATAATATATGCCTGGTTATCTACCAATGGCAACTTCAGGTGTTAGTTCCTTTAGTGTGGGATTATGGGAACAAAATACTATTAGGAAAATAATGATATAAAAGAGGATAAATACCAGTGGACCTTTGGAGGGACAACCGCAAGAGATACAGCTTTTATTGCACCAACTGTTTTTAAATTCACTCCCTTACCATATTCATTTTACAGGACTTGAGTTACTTAATTTTAGTCACACATCAACAGCTAACAAGAAAAAGTTACTTGGTAAGCTGCTGTCAAGAAGGCACTCGGCTTTCCCCCATTAGTTTACTGAAAAGTCTCAGTAGGATTATCTGATAGGTTGTGTGTTGCTGCATGTGAATGTCGCAGTTGGTGAGAAAGGGAATTTTCACAGGTTCCCGCTGTACCTCATAACTAAATGTGTACTAAATGTGTTTTCCAGAAATAGAACTAGATCTCACAATATAGGATTCTGCAATGTTTTCTGAAGTACATATCTGCTCTAATTTATTCATGTTTTAGTATGTTTCAAAAGAAAATGCAAGGCTATCAATAGATTCAACTCACTATAGTGGGCCCTAAGCACAGTCTGTATTTAGATACTTAAGATACATTTGACAGTGAAGGCTGCTGAAGAAATCTATTTTAAATCTTTTCATCTGTCTGTGATCACCAGGCATCAGTTTTCAGTGTTGAACCTGACATTTGCATGAGATGTTGTTTCTGTATAACATGTTTCTTGTATAAGAGTTAAGAAACGGAGCTCTCTCCACTTCTGCTTTTTATATGCACAAAAATAACTTTGCACACTTGGTTACACTTGTAACTGGCTGGTAGGGCTTCTGAGGGCTTGGGGTCACAAGATTAAGGATGCCATCTGAGTAGAAATGGAAAGCAGCACTTGGTCTCTTTTTGTTTAGATGCCTGTATTTTCCGAAAAGAAAACCACAAAACCTTCCTTCACTGTCACGTTCTGTTCCACACCAAACCGATTGCTCCTCCTAGCACATAAGCTTTCTACATTTGTCAACAAAACAAGATTTTCCATTTTCTATAAAATGTAGGCCTGTGTGATGAAAAGAACCAGCTATTTGAGTGACACATGAATTGTCCCCCTACCCCCACCAGCTTTTGCTGATAGAAGGATTCAGTAGAGCTGGATTTTTAATACCACAAGTATTTGTTGGCTTCCAGTTATTCAAAATTCTTTTAATTCAAAGATCTCGATAACAAAGAACAGCCATTCCAGAGCACCTTCATTTATTTTGAAGAGGGAAAACAATGAGCTAAAAATACTCTTATTTACTCATCTGTCTTAATTAACAATCCAACTCACACTTTTAAAACAGGTAATTTTTCAAATGGTTGGTTTTTTCTTCTAATTCTGTGTATCTTTTCACTAATTGTAAATATTTTCATTTTAAGAACTTCCCAAATAACTGCCCTCTTTTGGGGAGATAATACAAGAATCCTCAGTGTTAATATTGAGCTGAACTCAAGTTTGTAAAAAGTAAACACACACGGACACAAAAAAAAATCCCAAGATTTTTGAGCAAAGAAGTGAATGCAGTGTAGCTTTTCTGGTCGTTGTTTCCCAGGCAGCAATATTATTTAGCTAAAGTTATTAGAAAGTTATTTTGGTTATTGAAGTTGTTATACAGCTATTAGACTATCAAAAAAAGAAAAAAGGGCAAAAATAAGCAACACAACTAGTGGCATTTGTCTTCCAATGGGCTTGTGTCCTGCCCACCACCCTGTCTTTCTGTTCGCCCTGGTCCAAATGGATTCTTCACTATACTCTTCTTCTCTGCAGCTTCTTCCCAGGTGCCCAGCCCCTCTTCTGGTGCTTCTAATACCACCTACAAATCTTCCAAAACTTTCTTTACACCCTGACAGAGGGCATGAGGAAGCAGGTTGTTGCTGCTTCTGAGCTTACACATGTGCTGACTGACCAGGCATTGCACGTTTTTTGATTGTCCAGCCAGTAAACTGAAATAAAGTAG